TCCCCAGAAGAAGCCCAGGAAGAGAGTTCAAAAGCCAATACTGTGAAAATGAAGAATTCTGCAGATCTATAAACCCATTACTTAGGTCAATGATAGTAGCTTCTGCTGGACTATGAAGGTTTTACTCCAGAGGACCCCTGGACACTTTACTTGTGAGTCATCCCAAGGACAAGCACTCAAAGCATGGCTGAAGTCAAGGAAAGTCACTGTTGGCTGGCTGTGAGACAGCAGGATGAGCTAGGGTGGCTGTCTGCCCCTCACAGTGTTATGCAAGAACCCAGGAGGGTGTAAGCAGCAAGGATTTAAAGCAAAAATTTATGAGAGTTTAGAAGTTACAGGGCCTCCCCTGCTTGTTCTCTTTTGCTAGACTTTTAAAAATATCTTTTTGACATTGCATCAGACACTTCTCTGATAATGAAGGCAAGGAAGATGTACCACGGGAGCTTTTGTAAAGATAACATTTGTTGGGCTTGAGAGAAAATGTGTGTGTGTGTGTGTGTGTGTGTGTGTGCGTGTGTGCTTATGTTTGCATCACTGTGCTGAGAAATTGCAGTGCACATCCCACACCTGGGCATACTTTGCTGGAGGGGTAAAAGCTACTGACCTCAGCCTTCAGCTGTATACCTGCTGCAGCCCACGGAGCTGTCCTCTCTTTCTGGGGGTTTCCTGGCTGTCTGTGCTTTGGGTCTCATACAAGGCAACAGTCGATGAGGTTTCGAGTGTTTGAGCAGACATCTGAATGCAGAGAGCAGAGGGATGATATCATCTTGCAGTCACTGCAAGTGTCATTAGCTGTGAGCATGGCAGGAGCTCACACCCTAGAAGGACACTCCCTGTGTGAGGAGGTTTCCCGGAAGTGCTGCTGTTTGACCCTTGCTAGGATCGGCACACCCACTTTGCTGAGCTGACGCTGATGGGTTTGCATGCTCACACCCATTTGAGGTAAGTCTCACCCACTGAGAAGTGAATTCTACACAGACTGGCATATGTTGAGCCTCAGAAGGTGTGGCATAAGTGACCCTCACAGGTCGGTATTCATGTATTCATTTAAAAAGTCTGTGGGCAGGACTGGGACTTGGAATCCAAATCATGCTTATACAATGCCACCAAATTGCTAATGGAAAGATTCCTGAAATATTTCAGATAATTTCAAGTGATTTAGAAACAAGATAAAATTACAAAGATTCATGAAGTGCATGAAAGTGTTACAAATGTCTTTTATTTAAAAATTCCAGATGAGGGCTGGGGGATTTAGCTCAGTGATTCTGCTACCTGCCTTGCAAGTGCAAGGTCCTGAGTTCAATCCCCAGTACCAAAACAAACAAATAAACAAATAAAAAGACATTCCAGATGATCTGAGTCAGTATAACTGACTTCTATCTTATCTGTGCAATGTCTAGCAGGTTGTAGCAGCAATTCACTGAGAGAAGGCTATTTTGTGCACAGCCCTAGCAAGTCAGACGTTAGTGACTGCCACTTAATGGTCCAGACCATGCGAACACATTATATCTAATTCTCACAATAACCCAGCACAGGAGGTGCTGCTGATCCTATATAGAGTCAGGGACATTGAGGCCTAATGGTGTAGAACTTTGTTGAAGTGCACAGCTGGGAAAGAGCAGCTCACATTACTTTAAAGCTCCATGATACCCTGGGCTCTTTTATCATTACCTGACTATTCTGAGCCACCAAAACTATGCAGCACACTTTCCTTTAAACATGATGTCATTTTACTGTGTCCCAACATGTATGATTCCCCAGCTCTTCTAACACTGGGTCCATTTCTTTGCTTACAAGGTGTGATGAAAAGAATACCCTGAATATTTAAATTAAAAATTTAAATCCAGGTGTGGTAGCACATGCCTCTGATCCCAGCACTTGGGAGGCTGAGGCAGGAGGATCACTGTGAGTTCGAGACCAGCCTGGCTACATAGTGAGTTCAAGGCCAGCCTGAACTACATAGTGAGATCCTGTCTCAAAAAAATTTTTAAAAAAATTATTATAATAAAAGACTCATTATCATCAATCTCCCTCAAAATGCCCTCCTACACTTGAAACACTTATCCCATTTGTGCTAATTTCTGAAGCAGTTCCGGAAGTCCTGTTTCATATCTGTGAGTGAATGCTGCTGAGTGCCATCCAATGGAAAGGCGGGCTCATAAGAACATCACTGTAAGTCCTCATCTATTTTGTTCACCAGATCTGGCACCGTGTGACTTCTGGCTCTTCCCCAAAGTCAAAGTAACCAAGAAAAGTCTACATTTTGAATTAATTCAGGCCACTGAGCCAGGCATGACAGGGCGACCGAAGACTCATAATGAGGGCTTTGGAGGTGCTTCAGAGAGAGGCAAGAATGATGGAATAAGTGTGTTCTGAAGCAAGGGAGTGCATTTTGAGGAGGATTAGTGGCACTGTGTCTTTGACTGTAACAATTTTTTAATCAAGACATTCAATGTATGTTTTAATCGAGACATTCAATGTATGTTTTAATCACACCACCTGACTCACCCTGCACCAGTAACTTCTTTAAAGAGCTCTGCTATAGGCAAAGCCTGTCACTTATCCTCAGATAGATCCTGAAATCTGCTTGCATCCCCTCCCCACAAGCACTGTCATGTACTATTTATGCTTCCACAGGTAGAATTCTTATTCTTTGATGTCAGAGGTAGAGGATTAAATCTCTTTTGTTCTCTCCCATGGGGAAGCAGTAACAAGCTGCATCATAAAACTTTCATACTTCTCAAGCTGAGTTAACTATCTCATAGATTAGAAAGGAGTGGCAGCAGCTCCCCTGCTCTGTTTAATGTTGTTTAATCAGTCATTGCTCATCTGAAGGGCAGTAAGATCAGAGGAATAAAATGGAATGGTGAGTGGGGACCTTGAGACTTCACAGTGTATCTTGGCTGAAAGGGAACAAGTTGGAGTATTTGAACTCTTCAAGACAGGGCTGGGCCATAGGCAACCAGGTTCAGCTTCCTGGCACATGATTGCCAGACTACAGCAGGAGACTTGGGCAGCAGATTATCATGGTATTTATCTTGGGGTATCATGGAAACCTACAAGCTCGAAGGTCGCAGATTCAGGGGTTTGGGGAAGTGTTTTTTAAAGTCATCGGTTGATAACCTCTTATAGGTACTAAAATGCCAAGATTCCTCAACTGGAGAGGGCCCCAGAAGGGCTCGTTGCCTCAAACTCTCACTCTACAACTGCTCAGCCACCTTTCTTCTGGATAGAGATCAAAAGACCACCAAGCGACTGCAATACAGTGGGGCAGATAGGGTCTGGAACCTAGCAATTCTGTAGTAACTTTGGCCTGCCTCATCTCCCAGGTTCTCTTTCTTTATTTCTTTAAGATGAGAAGTGGAGCTAAAATCAGTCTCTCTCCTGTGCTGGGAGTCCCCTGGGGACCTCGCTGAAAGGCAGGTTCTGATTCAGGTCTATGGTGGGCCCTGCAATTCTGTAGCCTATCCAGTTCCCAGGAGTGCACTTGGCACTGTGTTCAGCCTTCCCTGTACTTTCCTTTAATGCAAATCAGCTCCCAGGAGACTCAGACCAGTCAATGATCTGCTGCTCCTGGGTGGACCGGGTCTGGTAGGTGGGAGCTGAATGGGGAGAGAAGGCGAGACTTCCTCTGCAGAGCCCAAGCATGGGGTGAGGCTAGGTCCTGAGGCCACCCAGGTAGACCCTGGGAGTGTTGGGTGTCTCAAGGAGTGACAGGACATCTACAGTGGGGAGGCCAGCAGGTGAGCAGCAGCCAGAAACAGAAGTAGGATAAATACTGCCCATCTTAACTTCTTATTGCTATCTGGACCCTTTTATGGAATAAAGTGAGCTGGAATCAAATGAACTCTGGAGCTCTTGGATTTAGTTTGAGTACTGTTTCATTCATCTGGTCTCCATAAAAACTTCGTAAGATGATATTCACCTAAAGTCACAGTGGACACAACTGAAAAAGACACTACCCCAATTGTCTGACTGCCTGGAAGGTTTCTTCTGCTTCCCTCTTCACACTAAGACAAAAATCAAGTCCCATCCCCAAGGTCAAAAACATCAGTTAAAAAAGAAAAACTCAGAAATTATGACCTTTTTAGCACAGTACAGACATTTTAATTATATGTAAACAAATAAAAAACTCACAGGTACATAAAAAGAATTACATTAATAATACACATTCAATGCAGAATTCCATTTAAATACACAAAAATTTATGGGCCCATCAGGACCTAAAAATCTGCATCTTCTCATCATATTTACTGATACCAGTATATAACACTTGATGAGAGAAGTTTTCAAACAAAGAGGAAATTAAAAGTTGAAATAGAAGCAGAGAAAAGAACCCACAGTCTTTCAATGGCTTGAAGCTTGTATAACACCCAATGAGAGTTCATCCTGAAAAGAATATAAACCATTATATATTTATTTAATGGGGGGGTAAGTTGATCACTTAGAAGTAAAATCATTTAACTGAAATAATTTGTGAAACTTTTTAAAAAGAGAAATTCAAAACCACAGTCTCAGAATCTATCGGTCCAAAAAACCTGTTTTCTTTTAATTCACAGCTTCAGATTCAAATTTCAAATGTCAAAAGTAATAAAAAGTACTAGAATACTCCTTAATGATCTTAAGTACAAATAACTAAAAACAAAAACAAAAACAAAAACATTACTCCCAAAGATAAGAACTTTGACTCACTCATGTTTATATGGAGAATCAAAGATTTAGAAAGAATTAGTACTTAGAAATAACCATTATAAACCATTTTCTGTTTGCATCCTCAAAGTAAGAAAAGCTTTCCTAGGCTGAAAAATAATTTTGGTTTTAATTCACTCATTTAAGCCAAAAGCTGTCTTGCTCCAGCTTATGGAAAGACCAAGCCAGAAAAATACAAGTTGAAAATCTTTTACCTGTTACCTCTAGCCCCAAGCTCCAGCCCTCTTCTAGCATAACAAACTCTTTTCAGAAGGCCAGAAAATAGATATATGCATTTTTGGTTGTTTTTGCTTTTATTTTCCTTCATTTTTGGTGTTTCCTTTTTACCTGCAGTTTAATTTCTTATTCACAGAAGAAGTCAATATCCTGGAGGAAATAAAAAAGACACACATACAAAAAAAGGATTGAACTAAACAGGCTGGGCCAGGAAATAGATGTAAGTTCTTTATTCAAAATCAGATTTAATCAAAGAGAAAATCGGATTTAAAATAAGTAAAGGTTGAACCTCAAAGAATATAAAATAATTATCACTTGAAATCAAAAACTACTCAAAGTGAAGGTCCTCAGATAAACTTTTAATTTCTGGTTATTTGACAGATCAAGCTCCTTGCTCAGAAGCAGTGACAAGTGAGCTGGATTTGTGTAGGCTGCGCACTATGTGAAGCACAGTAATTAGCTTCGGGAGAATCACTTCAAAACAACCACCTTACAAAGCAGCTCAGAGAGGCTCTTTTATTTTTGCCAGCAGTTTACAGGACCCCAGGGCATTAGTAAGAGCATGATTTCATTTCATACATAAATAGAAAAAAAATAAGGCACAAAAATAAGACATTCAAAGATTTTTCTAGAATGTTTTGATCTTATGAAAAACAGGTGCTAATTTTTTTCCCCAACTTATAGCCTGTAAATCAGTGCAAACTCTCTGCAAGCATTGGTTAATACTAATTTGGTTTCTTTCTTTATGACATGGACTCCTTCCAAGATAACTCCAATTTAAAACAAAAGGAGAACTGAACCGTATATTTGAAATTTGCTTTAAAATGCTCTCTTTCTCTCTCTCCCTCTCTCTCTCTCATATATACACACACTCATACACATACACACAAAGCCCACTGTATGCAGTGATAGATGTTAGTAAGCTTGATTGTGATGCTCATTTCACAATATATGTATATATAAAACATCAAATCAATTCCTACTAGTCAATTATAAACCCACTAAAATTGAAAAAATAAAGTTAAAAATGAAACATAAAGAGAATAATAAACTCAAACAAAAGGGGTTATGTAGAGAAAGTGCACTAATCTTTCACTGTTGATAGTTGGTATAAATGCCTCCCCAAACCCCACTGTCTCAGAAAAGTGGCCATTGGAGGATGGGGACTTGCTCTACACTTCCCTTAAGTTGCATGGTGTATTTGTCGAACCACACTATATCACCCAGGATCTAAGAGAGGCTTACTGTTGTGGGAAGTTCCTTGGTGGCTTCCTGGTACACACGTTGTTCCTTGACCAAGCTGCTTGGGAAATAACCCACGATTCCCATCTCAGCCTGGTGATCACCGTAAACCTGAGTGCCCAAGAGAGTACGAATCAGTACAAAGCTGATGTGAAGTTCTCTCAAGAAACTGCAAATTACATTGACTGCCAATGCCTTCCCTTTCCTCTGTGTACCAGGGGACTCCGGGTGGAATTTGAACTTCTCTTACAGCAACTAAGCTAATCCATGGGAGCTATGTCCCTATTTTCTTGTGGCCTGGTTTGACTTGTCTCATTACTTTAGCATTAATTTCCTTTATTCTATGTTGTCACTTGCCTGCATCAATAAAAAGGAATCCAGTTAAAGGAAAGTCAGTAAAAAAATTTTAAAAAGTAAATAGATACTTATTTTAAAGCATGCGTATTTCTCAAATTTTAGTAATTCAAATGAACAGGCCCTTGAATGTGTTTCAGTTTAATCCTTGACTACTGTAGGACCTGTCTTTGGGGGTGGTAAAGGCAGTAAATCAATCTGGCTTCATCCTTCCCCCAGGCCAACTCTGTGTCTCTTAACTGAAGGAAGCAGATTCTGTGGAATTAAAGATGCTGCTAAAGTTTCCTAAAAGTATATCGAAACTTAGACTGAGTGCCAACACACATACCTTTCACTTGGCAAACCCTCTACACATTTTTTAATAAGATTCAAACTCTATGAGATGTGCAAGTCTCAAAATGGGAATGCCCCCCACCTTGGCCAAAATATCACATTAACCCACCTCTGGTTTTGTTATAAAATTACTTTTACTTTTAAAAAAATGTAATAAGAGCATGTATAGCCGATCTTTTGCATTTGCATTTACAATTTCTTTATTGTTCTTGCCAGCTATTTTTAAACATTACAAAGGGTTGAAGATAGGAAACTGAAGAAAAATTAAGAGCAGCATGTGTCAGGATGTGTATTTTTAAATAATATCATCTTACACTGCCAGCCCAAAATTCTCCAGCTTCGTTTTCTTTTACCAGCTTTGAGTAAACGTAGATCTGCTGCCCCTTTTTAACATTTATGAATCTACAGTCTGGGGCATTGTAATCTTCTTGGGCTCTAGCCAGAGAAATAGTATCTGGAAGATAAATAAATAAATAAATAAATCAAAGAGACCACATTTCATAGTGTAAAAAGACAAAGCATAAGAAAACCAGGAAGTCAGAGTGACTAATACCACTCAGGGTACACCTGGGGTTCAATTCAAGAATTAGAGACAAAATACTAGAGCAATCACAAAGCCTTGGCAGCCAAGTGATTTCTCCACTGTCAGATACCGAAGTTACAGACTATGAAACCTAATACTGATAAAATACATATTAAAGAAGATTCATTTCAAAGTCAATTCAATTCTATGCTGTTAGTGGATTTCCTTTCAATTATATAATACAAAGATCATGAAAAGCGTAAAAAGCTTCTTACAGACACACTCTTCATCTGCACACAGCTTCTTGGAAGCAAGTCTATCCATAAATACTCCATGTCCTGCACATATGACCACGAGACTTGGAAGAAAAAGCAACAATATCCTTGCCATCTTCCTTTTTCTGCTGTTTTGACTGGCACTCTTTGACTAGAAGTGAGGACTGAGTGCAGCGATCCCATCTTTTATGTGAAAGCCAACCTCTGGGTAAATAGCCATGGCCAATGGGAAGATGTCCGCCACCTCTACTTTCATCACTGGCTCCCAGACTCTGGGGACTCGGATTTAGCATCAGATTTTCTAAAGGCAGCCAAACTCCTCATCTCTTTTGCACACAAATGATACCCATAATGGTGCACCACTTGTAAAGCTGAATTAACTCTGGTTTATTTCCTTGATCAGCAGCATTGCTGAGAGGATTATGAGAATTTCGAACTATTTTTAAATTTTTTTTATTTCACCCTCATAGTCTTTCATCTTAAGAGCAAAGACATGTTAACTACAGAAGTCTATTTCTATACCATGTGAGATTTATATCTTTAGTACAAGTAATTTTGATTTAAGAAATCCATTTAATAAACACTTGAATTTAGATAAAAAGTAAAGGATTGTGGTGAATACAAAACCTTTGTGAAAGGAGTTTTATAAGTTATGCTGGTCCTGGACTGGTGATAGATTATAACATACTAGTGGGTGACACATTTAAACCCCACCAATGGAGAAAGAGAGAGATGGGTTGGGAAGAACAGTTCAGTTCTTTCTTTACCTCTGCGTAGGTCAGTTCTCCATCCCTATGACAGATACCTGACACATAAATGGCGGGGGAAAAGCTATTTTGGCTCATGGTTTTGGAAGTTTCAGCCCATAGTCAGTTAGTTCCACTATTTTAAGCCCATGGCCAGAACATGGAGATGGAAGTGTGTGGTGGAGGAAACTTACTTACCTCATGGCTGGGAAGCAGAAGAAGAGGAGGAAGGGACCAGGGTCCCGCAGTCCCCAGACACACATTCAATGACCTAAAGGCTTCTCAGTGGGTCTCCATCTCTCGAAGGCACCATCCATCCCTAGTGCCATCCTGGGGTCCAAGCCTTTACTACACAGGCTTGTGAGGGACATTGGAGATCCAAGTTGTACCAACCTCCTCTGAGGGATTCAAAATTCAGGCTCAAAATGCTCATGGGGCATGATTCACTGAGAATCAGGTAAAGTTAGATAGAGGTTTACATTACCTTCTCAGCTTCTGGACTTGTTTCCCATGAAAAGAGAGAGACTGCTACTAGCTCCATCTATTGAATATTTACTGAACACTTACTGTGTGGCATGTACTGCTCTCAGCCCTAGAGATATAGGAGTGACTATTAAAAAAGGCTGCCCCATGTCTTATTAGAAGAGACAGACAGTTGCTGCTTTTTACAGTGTCTGGGGCTGGCATCCTTCTGAAGAGGTGGATGACCATGCCCACCCCACCATTTCTTGAACAGAGATTTCCATCAGGATGCCCTCTCCAACTCTGTTGATGGTGTGGTTTCAGAGTGTACCTTATTCCTGCAACCCCAAGTGTAGTCACCATGCAAAATGAGGAATTAGTGTTCAATTTACTAAGTAATTTAGTGCAAAATATTTTTCTAAGGGATAAATTGATAAAGCAAAATATGCTTATAATAAAAATGTTTTATTGTTTTGGATCTATGAATACATATGTATGATTAAGTGCTTGCAATAGTTTTATTGTGTGTGTATATAAAATGGATTTTGTGTGTGAATGTGTGTGTGTGTGTGTGTGTGTGTGTGTGTATTTTTAGAGGAGGATATTTTATACAGCTGTCTGTGACCTGGAAGCTTGTTTTTTTCCATACTTTCATTATAGATAAGGAAATTGAGGCCCACAATTGCCCAAGTGCCCTTTCTTGACCCCCCGATCTAAAGGTCATCCAGAGGAATTGTGGTTTGGGGCTGTTTCCACTCATCGCTGTCAAATTAGAATTGGGATTTTAAATCTTCTATTTCCTGCTGCGTGTCAAGGAAAGGATGAGTTAGAAATCATATTTGAAAGCATAATGTCAGTGCATTTTTCTTTCTTGTAATCTAGTGGGCTAAAAGTATTCTGTGGGAAAACTAAAGCATGGGCTAAATCTTCATCCTGATCCAGCAGCTGTTCCACAGATTGCTGCAGTCTGCAGCCAGCCCTCTACACAGGAGAGCTAAAAGACAATTGCTGTCCAAGAGACACTTAAGAAATGGAGGAGACTGCAAAAGCTTGGATTGCCATCCTCTAGGACCTGGCCCCTTTGCCTCTTAGATTTCCCCTTCTTTCTCTTCTTTACTGACTATTCCTGTCATGCTGGTAGATCTGTGGCATTTCTTTTCTTTTCTTTTTTTTTTTTTTTGTTCTGGGGATCAAACTCCGGACCTTGCACTTCTGAGGCAGGAGACGGAAGCACTGAGGTAAATCCCCAGCCCAATCTGTGGCTTTTGATGACACAATATCCCACACCCACGACTTAATCCTGCCAAGGTTGTGGACCTGATGCTACCCCTAAACAATATGTAAGAATTTGTTTGCATCTCTCATGTCAGCTGCAACCTCCAAAGAGTTAAAGGAGAAGTTTAATTTGACTCACAATTCAGGGAATTCAGCTCATGGTCAGTTGGCCCCAAAGTCAACTTCCAAGGTGGAAGGACATGGCAGAGCAAAGCTGCCCACTTCGTGGAAGCCAGAAGCAGAGAGAAGGGAGGAGCTGTGGAAAGAATACATCCTTCCAGATCACATCCCCAGTGACCCAACTCCAACCAAGACCCACCTCCTAACAACACACTCAGCAGTGAACGCATCCCTGGATAAACCCACTGATGAGTACAGCGCCCCAGTGATCCAGTCACATTCCACAAGCTCACTTCTACATACATGAGACTACTGAGGGACATTTTAGATCTAAGCCATACTCCCAGACACTGGCATTCAGGTTTCTGACCATGATTCCTCCAGAGACGGTGACCTAAAAGAGCCACTCCATTTGCTCCTCCAACCCAAAGCCTGTCTTCCCAGTCTTGGTACACTGGCCTGCAGCACGTCTTACTGTTTGACAAGCCTAGTTTATTTACTCGAGGACAGTTTGTCTCCAACTATGATGAAAGCTCCATGACACAGAGACCTTGTTCATCATTCTAGAACCCAGGAAAATACTTAGTAAAAAATCAGTCTTGACTGAGTATATATCCTTCTGAAATTGTACATTTCGGTATCAGATTTAAAGAGATATTCTTAACACTTCCAAATTAGACTCACTAAGTAATTGCCACCAAAATGTCATCCCCAAACCTTAACTTTGGTATCATTTTTTCAAAATAGGGTCAGACCTCACTCCAGACAGGCTAAATCTGAATCTATACCTTAACAAGAAACCATGTAACTCACATACGCTAAACTGTGTGAAGTTTGCTAACATTTGCTTCTGGGAAAATTAAATAGAGGAAAAAAAAAAGTCAGCGCCTCACTATCTTCACTGGACTGCCAGAGGGTACATTGTCAAAAAACAAAATTACTTCTTATATATAAACAGAAAATAATATAAACCTTCAAATGGGGTTGTGAGTTTGCAAATTTTAGTTTTATACTAACTTCTATTTATCAATATGCTGCCTTTGAAAAAATACCACTTGAACTAATCATCTAATTATTGTAACCTTCATAAATGTAGAAATCTGTTTTGTTTTTTTGGTACCAGGGATCAAACTCAGGACCTTGTGTTTGAGACAGGCAGCAGAACCACTGAGCTAAATCTCCAGCCCTACTCTGTTAACTCTTTTTTTCTTGTTATTGAGTTTATTGGTACAATCCAGGTATACAATACAGTTACATTCATTACTGGGATCCTGTATCTTTACATGACAGGTCTTCATTCTCATTTTTTCCCCTTGTCCCTGCCCTCCCTTCACCCTCTCCTCCCCTCCCCATTTACAAGCACTTTATTTCTATTTTTTCAATTTCTCATATTTTTTTTCTCTCCCTTATTACCTTTCCCCCACCCTTCCCACTTTCCCCACAGCTTTAGCCCTTTACTTCCTAGTTCACATTATTAATTATCTCATTAGGATCCTGTGTACTATTACAGTTTTTCACACCAGAGAAACTATTCAGTATTTCAGTTAAAGAAATCTCTGTATGAACATTAAAAATAGGGAATCCTAAAATAAAACTAAAAAGGAAAGTAAAAGAGAAAAGGCAATTGATGTAAGATTAAAATAATCCTTAATTCTGAAGATGAAAATGGTCCCTGAACATATTTAAATTGCTTCTTGCTCTTGTAGTCTTATTCTTTTTTTTCATTATTTAGAGAATACTTTATTAATTTCTGTAATCAAACCCACATAGATATGATCTTACATATTTAATACAGTGCATTACCCCTGTACAAATGGAAAAAAATTTAAAAAATTAACATTTCTAGACCAATATGGCTGTCAATTTCTGTATAATGCCAACTCAACACAGTAAATTGGGATAACTTTTTCCAACATTGACAGCACAAAGTTTCCAAAAATTCAAATTATATATCTATATGTATATAGATATTTATATTTGTATAAAAAGACCAATAATACCAGTATGTTATGCATCAATAGCAGCAACAGCTTTTTTTGGTTCTGCAGTCATCTGAACAAAATTATAGATATTCAGCACATTTCATTAAAAAAACAAAAAACAAAGAACAAAGAAAAGAATAATATCCAGAAAACAGCAAAGTTCTGTTGCTGTTGTGGTACCTGGCACCATTTTTTTTTTTTTTTTTTTTTTAGCATCTAAATCATCATCTGGAAAGAGAACATTCTAGAGTAATATCACTAAAATAGCCCTGATAAAGCATGGTCACTACTACGTATCATAAAGCAGGTACAAGTTCTTTTACATTCACAGAGGTATGATACAGTACCGTCCTACATCAATAATACTAGAATCAGTTTTGGTTTGAAATTTGCTTTGTCTGCAAATAAGATTGCTACCCCGTTTTTTTCTGGGCTCCTGTCATATGGAGAATTGTTTTCCATCCTTTCACTTTCAGTCTATGGGCTTCTTTTTGCACTAGGTGTGTTTCTTGTACACAACATATTATTGGATTTTACTTCTTATTCCATTTTGCCAGTCTATTCCTCTTGATTGGTGAGTTGAGGCCATTGACATTGATGGTTATAACTGATATGTACTGACTTATTATTGTCATGTTATTGGCCTTTTGTTGACTCTTTTCACTTTTTCACCTTTAGTTTCTTGCCTTGCCTATTTGATTTGCTCTGTTGGGCCTCATGGTGGTGTTGCCTTCATTGTCTTTTTCTAGGATCTTGTTTAGAATTGCTTGCAGCGCTGGCTTGGTATTCATGTAGTTTCTCGGGTGTTCTTTGTCATGAAGTATCTTACTTCCCCATCCATTTTGAAAGAGAGCTTTGCAGGATAGATCAGTCTAGGTTGGAGGTTGTTCTCTTTTAGTACTTGAAATATCTCACTCCAGGCTCTCCTTGCCCTAAGGGTTTGTGTTGAAAAGTCTGCTGTGATTCTGATGGGCTTTCCTTTGCATGTGATTTGTCATTAATGCTGTGAACAGCTTTTTAAAGTCATTTGTATTTTCTCCTGCTACTTCATGGATTCCTATCAGTCTTATGCTATTCTTCTTTGCATCATCTAGGAGTTGGATTGATTTCTTATGATCCCCTACTGTTTTTAAGAGACCTCTCTTTTCATGGTCACTGACTGCAATCTTGTCTTCTATATCTGAGAGTCTATCTTCGCATTCTTTTATTCTGTTGCATACACTTTCAATGGAGTGTTTAATCTCCTGGATATATGTTTGAATCTGTTTTATGGATTCCATTTCTTTCCTATGTTGGGCGTTTATTGTTTCCATTTCTTTCTTATTCTGGGCCTTCATGGCTTCTATCGTGGTCCTGAGCTCATCTATTTTTTTGTCAGTTTCTGCTGTAGAGTCTCAAATCATGACTGTCATTTTGCTCACCATCTCTATGGTTATCTGGGAAATTATTTCTGTTTTGAATTTTTCTAGAGCCTGATTGATCTGTTTTGTTACTTCCTGTGCTTTGAGTTCAGGGTGTCCTGGTGGTTCACTATCAGCCTTTTCATCCTCATTTGCCCTACTGTTTGCCATTGGTGAACTGGAAGTCTGTCTTTGTGTCTTGCTTAAGTGTTTTCTCATCTTTATTTGTTGTCGGGGTGTCCTTGGTTTAATCTCTGGGTTATCACCCAAATCTTCCTGATATAGTTGTGCCCTAGCTTCTGGGTCTGTAACGACCCACAGACATTCTCATCTCCACAACATCAGAGAAAACAGCTCATCAAATCAACCAAAATCCTTTATCCCAACTTTGTTAACTCTTAAGCTTGACTCAAATTAAAATCGCCCTTAGAACTTTCACACTGATGCCCGAGTTTCACTCTTAGAGATAAACTGATCTAGGATGCAGGCTGGGCACAGGAAGTCAAAAATGTCTGCCAGATGATTCCAACATGCCAAGTTGAGACCTATTACACTGATAACACTTCCTCCTCCAGTCATTCCTCAAGATAGGGAAGACCAAAGTACTCCAATTTAATCATTTCCCTTCCTCCCTCTTAAAGCCTATGGGAGCTCTGAGCAAGTAACTTAATACACTGAGGTTAATGGAACTGGTGAAGGGAATTACACACCAGGAAGGAGGAAAACTAGAATATGCTTAGGGCTGTTGGTCTACAGCCTAAGGTACTGCTGAAAAGTCATAGCTTTTACATAATTGTATAGATACATCCAAGGATAGATGGATTCATAGGCAATTTTATGTCTATATGAAATTAAGGGCAGGCTGAGGAACTGAGGAAACTCAAGAGACATGATGCAGTAAGGTCCAAGACTGGATTCTTGGGTTGTTATTGGGCTATTGGCAAAACATTGATTTTGTAATGTGAGATTAGTATTAAATTTCTGATTTTGATGGTTAGATTGTAGCTATGCGAGAATGGCCTTTTACTTAAATAGTATACATGAATGTATTGAGGGGTGACAGGCAATCAGATCAACATAGTCTGGAAAAGTTCAGGAATGTTAACAATTGGTAATCCAAGTGTTCATGGAGTTGTGTGTACTATTTCTTCAAATAAAAACTAGAAAATGTATCTAAACTGAAAAAATTAAAAAGTAAATCAAGACGTTACTTCTTTGCTCAAAATTTAATATACACACAGACCAGTATGTGAAAGTTCATATGTTGTCATTTTATTCATAATGGCCCTGGGTTGGGACACAAATGCCCATATATTGGTGCAGGAAACTGCTCACACGTGCAACACAGATCAATCTCAAAAGCAGTTCAGACAGGGCCAAACTACAGAGATATAAAGCATTGTGGGTGCCCAAGGCTGAAGCAGGAGGGGTCATTTCACCACAAAGGGGAAAGAGGAAATTTCTTGGGTAACAGAAAGCTCTTTACCTTGTTGATGATTACATGACTATACAATTTCCCCAACCCATCAAATGGACACTAAAATAGGTGAATTTTTTTACTTCATTTTTTTAAATCCTCTAAAATAGTTCTCAATTTCACTCAGTATAAAACCCTAGAAAGACCAATCCTAACCAATATTTTTCTTCTTCCTTGTTCTCACACCACTCTGGCCACACTGGCCTTTCTACTTCCTCCAAAACAGCCACTTGAAAGTGGGATCAGACAAGTAGTGACTCAGAGTAAGCAGAATATCTAACAGCAACTGGTACTGTTGTAACATCTGGGAGTAATTCACTGTTACACAAGACTGACAACAGGGTTAAAAAGTTATTCAAAGGAGGGATACCTCTAAATGTGGTAGTTTTAGGAATAAAAAATTATTTTGCTTTTTCCCACTTAACGTGTATGCAAAAGTGATGCACTAAGAGTCTATTTACCTAAGGCCAAAAGCAGCCTTTCTGAAAGTATTCAATAGGGTTTTGTCCAAGGAAATACTAAAACACAAATGCCAAAAAATAAGGTTTAGTATATATCATAAATCCAAAAACTGTCCATTTATAAAGATCCTCATGACTTTAAAACAGGGGAATTCACAGTTTTAAGTATAAATCAAATTGCTAAAGGATCTTTGGGAATATCTGAACATTGGTGTTTAAGAATTACAAAGAGGTAGCAAGATTAGCACTGGCAATACTAATTAGTCTACCTATCCTAAAAAAATTATAGATTGTTAAGTCCTCCCCTTGGGGGTCTTTCAGTAATGAAAACATACTCCTTAGGAAGAGTCACCTCAACAGGAAGGAAAATGTAAAATTTAAAGACAGCAGATGCTTTCCTTCTGTATTCTTAGAATACAGTAGTTACTCTTAAATGACCTTTGCAAAATATTGAATGAAAGGCTACTGAAATCTCTACCTATAGCAAAGTACAATGTTCATTTCCTTGAAGGTTACAAAGATCAAATTTAGATCTTGTTCAGGTCTCATTTTCTCTAATTATGATGTATTTTAAAAATTAATATAATAGTCTTTAACCTTTGTTAAAATGACTGTATTGCTCTATCACTAGTTACTCTAAAATTACTGAAAAGCATTGTATTATAGTTTTATGTGCTTAAGATATGTTCTAAATTAGAATAAGCATCTCAGGACAGGTCAAGGGCAATAAACAAAGAATTAAAATATTCAGAATACAAGGACAATAAACAAAGCATGAAATATTCAGAATACAAATAAAAATTTATTGTACAAAATTAAGGCCTTCATATTACACAGTTCACTAAGGCTGTGGTTAAATCTCTCACAAAAAAAGATTTTCAGTTTTACTTCTCCTCACTTCCAACCATAAAATGGCCTGACCAAATGTTATCAAAACAAACACCATAAATAACACCAAGTCCCTTAAAGATGACTATCCCAAATGTTATTTCTTAGCATAGGTGATCTTCATTGCATGGGAAGGTGTGATCTTAAACCCTTGTAATGCATCCCTGGCAGCTCCAGCCTGCCCATCATTTTCAAATTCCACAAAAGCAATGTCATGCCTTCCAGGTACCAGACGCACTTCCTTAAAACCAGGGAACCTGAAAGGAACACAAACAATTCATATAGACATATACATACATAAATGTCTGCTTTGTGTTTATATTTGTCAGCACTTTTCTGATACTGGTCCAGGAAAAGCAATCATATGCTACCAAAAAACTTGATTAGGATGGAAGAGTCTAAACTCTAATACTGTGAAAGAACAGGAAATATCTATGCTGATTCTGTTTCTGTCATTATGTCAAAGCTTTGCTTCCTGTTACACTCACTCATTAGAACTAATAATTCACATATCAGAGAATAGTCAGCTTTCTGTTTGCTAAAACTGCACACTGGCTTCAATCTATGATTAATCCCAGGTTAAATCTATGAACCCATAAGGGATGACTACTGTGGGATGACAAATGACTTCAACTAATGGAAGTGCTAAGTGTCCTGGTAAGAGAATACTGGAAACAGACTTGTTTATGCATCAACTCACTGATTAAACAGCATGGACAACATCATCTCGTTAGTCTCTTCTGGTAAATTATTAAGGAATAAAATATAGTTTGGAGGATAATCAGGGACCTATTAAAAACAAATGGCAAAGTTAGCTTATATTTGTAAACAGTATGTTAAGTCTTTTATTTCTACATTAAAACCTGAATTTCAGAGAGCTATGTTCCAGTTTATATAGGCTTGTGAAATCTTACAACAAATACTAATGCTGAAAAACAGTGACATCTGAAAAATAAATATAAACCTAACAGCAATGACGAGGAACAGATGTTCAAGTCAAAATACCCCAAAGTTGAAAGACTGCAATCTTAAAGATTTTATCTATTTATTAACAGTATGTAAAACAATATTTATGCTATAAGCATTTAAGGGTCAATTATAATTGGAGAATTCTGTCATCTAGAATACATCATTAAAATAACTTAATAAAACTAGGAAAGGCAGCAGTGTTATCCCTCCTCAGCTGGATACTCCACTAAGGCAATACTCAGTACTCAATTCCTCTGCACTATTGTTCACTGCCTCGAGATATGTAACATGGAACCAAAAGGTTACTACTGAGAACCATTACTGGTTGGGGACATAAATAAGGTATAAACAGCACCCAGTTTTATCTAGAAACAAATATGTTATTAGACATTAAACTATTTGATGCCCCACCCTGAGGTTATGAGGAACTACAGGAAAAGGGTCTTATGCACAAGAAGAGTCCCAGTCTTCAGGCTAGTTTTAGGGAGAGAAGAGATCAGGTGTAAAAAACAATGAACAAATAACTCAAGGCTTAGAGAATTAAGTGCTGGCATTTGTAAAATGGACTATAAATGCTAGGAGTTCAAAGAATGGAAGCAGATAAAACAAAATGCAAATAACTTAAAATCAGAGGAAAACACCTTAGTGGACTGGATTTATGGATCTTGCCAGCCTCAGTATTTCAGGAAGCAAGTATGAAACCATTAGCACAAAGCTCTGCTCTTTGCTTTGAAGAATGTAATGGGAGATTTGGCAAGGATTTTCTAAAACTACATATAAGAAACTTAAAATATAAGGCTAAAATTCACTTTTGCTAAGGAAGTAAGAGAAAGGTTAACTCAAATACCGTTCCCAAACAGCGAGTCTACTGGAGAGCACGGGGTGCTGGCTGGGCCAAATGGAAGAGAAGAGTTCATGTCCCTCTGTGCTGTATGACTATAAAGCCCTAGGCTACACCCTAAAGAAAACACACTTGCTCCTATCCCTCTAAGATTCAAATCTGCCATTTCAATTCTGTCACTGATGCATTATGGAAAACAAGGACTAGTCAGTTTTGTTTTCTTTCTCCTATATTTAAGCTGTTGAGAAGAGTAAGCTTCTTAACATTAAAGAGGTACAAAATTTAACATGATTTCTTACAGATGGGATAATTTTGGTTTTAAAAGCATACAAGTTGTTTTATACTATTGTTATGATTTTTGTATAATTTTATTTTAAAGTAAGCACCATATGGTGGGGGTTGGGGATTTTTTAGCTCAGTGGCACAGCATCTGCCTTGTAAGCACAAGGTCCTGAGTTTGATCCCCAGTACCCGGAAAAAAAAAAAAAAGTAAGCACCATATGGAAAAAGTATTACCTGAGGATTTAGTGTTGCATTTCCTTGGGCATTAGTTGCTAATGTTCCCTAAACAAAAGAAATGGGGAAACAATTAAAATTTCCAATCCCTCTAACAAGGCAACAGGTATTTCAACCACTACATAAAAATAACATTTTCAGACCTTTTAAATCCATTTAATCTTACTTTAACAATTTACATCTTAACTGTTATAAAATTCATGTATTTAACTGGTCAATGATTTCTGGAAAGTCTATTTCTGAATTTAACCTTAAAATTTAACACCTATGTTTTAAAATGGAGAAATATATGAGACAAACAAGGACCAATCTTACTTTTTTAAACAATTGCATATACATATAATAAATAAAAATGATTTCTAAATCAGTTTAATTCAGCAGTAAATATGTTGAGTGATAATTTCACCTACCTCATATTTCAAATTAAGATTTTGTATCCCTAAATTGGTGAAAAAAGCTCTGAGTGGACCACTGATGATAAAGATACTTTTTACAGTACTATTTATAGGCAAAACTTATAAAATAAGCCAAAAGATAGTAACATGTTTTGGAGAAAGATGGAATTAAATGTCATGCAAATCAGAAAAATCTCTATACATCTCTTCATGTAAAGGTCTGTATTTTAATTTGTTGCTTAAATATAAATACTGGAATTTTAGAACTTGGTCATTCCAACTTAATTCTACCTTCTAAACACATGTGTATCACAAGTATATGCTTCAAAGATTGTCCCACACATGTATGACAGGCATCCACTGAGCTTTTATTTTTTAAATTTTTTATTTTTTTGTTACTGGGGATTGAACTCAGGACATTGTGCTTGCCAGGCAGGCACAGTGCCACTGAGCTACATACATCCCCAGCCCTTCCAATGAGATTTTAAACCCCAAAACTTATAAAATTTATCTGTTTTACCTGACCAGGCTTTTTGTTTGCAGTTGTTGCAGTTTGTTCCACAGTTTTGGCTTTTTTCTTTTCTTTTTTCTTTTCCTTGTCAGCAAAAGTGCCACGCATTTTAGATATTATATCAGAATCTGTTTTTGCATACTGGATTCGCTGTTTTAATTATATGAAGACAGGTTACTTGTTATCGTGCCAAATTCACTACACACATATACTACAAGCTAATTTTAAACACCCTTCCTAAGGAAATGGTCACAATATACTGAGTGCCAGGTGGAAGTAAAGTGTGGCCTATAATGTACAACTAAGACAGAGTTTGATTTAACAATACAGTTAAATACATATTAAAAGAAAATCCATTTGTTTTCATATGGGGGAAACAAGACTGAAATACTTGCACCACTACTTCTCTCCAGTTAGTAACAGGAAGCTGCACTGGAAATTTGTCTACTTCTGAGCAGAAAGCCTCAAAAGGGCGTTCAACATAGGTAGGTCATCAGCTGCAAATGTGCCATATGAAATTGTTACTCTCAAAGGTTAATGCCTCTTTGAATCCATTATTTTTAAATGAAATAACTTTACTAGCAGCAATTTAAATTTTAAAATGTTGTGAAAGGAAACAAAGGATAGCATCACAGCTTGTGCAACTGGGCCACTCACCAACTCTTACTATGACAGAGCCACTAGGAATGGAAGGCACCTGTGAGACAGGAAAGTGTTCACACTGGTCCACGGGCTTTCCATCTGCTGTAGTAAGCAATCCAGCAGCCTGGAGAACTTGTCAAAGTGCAGTTCTGGGGAGCCTTAAGACTTTGTGGTTTCAACAAGCACAAAGGGGCCATGCTAAGGGCAAGGGGACCCACTCTGCACAGCGTAGTCCTGGCCTACGGCATCACCACACAGCTAAAGTCAATACCAGTAAACTGTCCAAATGTTTTTGCTAGTGACTTAAATTGTTATCTAGGGTGTAACTATGTGCAGACTGCAACTTTCATTTCAAGCCAACAGTGGGAAGAGTAGCTACCTCTCTGACCACAACAAAACACAGTAGCCCTACAAATCACTATCTAAAATTGCCCCTGTACAGCAAGAATGTGACCTTTAGTCTTAAGAGACAAAGAGGTATTTTAAAGTAGTATAAATCAGAAGGCAGAGATGTTTTAAAACAAAGAACAGTTTTTCTTTTCCTCTCCTTCACCTGAAGATGAATGTAGTAGAGAAGCAGTGAAGCAGGCCGGCTGTACCTCACAACTTCAGGCCTTCTCTGTACCGGGCTGCTGCACCACAGCTGCTATCTGTGGGCTTCCCGGCCAGCAGCTCTGGATCTTGGCCGCCACCAAGATCTAACCAAAGGAAACAGGCTGATGGTTGGCCTTGATTCCAGCTCCCCAATGTCTCCACCCTCGTCCCTGACCTGAACAGACCTTGGTGAGCGATCTGTGCATCTTTATGAAACATCTTTATGAAAGTATCTGCTTTCAACAAGAGCTCCCAGCCAGCTAGTCTGTCAGGGGTTTTTAACCAGAGGTGATTTCTTCTGGCCAAGGGACAGCTGGCACTATCTGCACACTGCTGGCTGTCGTGTCTCTAGCATGCAGTGGCTGGAGGACAGGGATGCTTCTAGCACAATACAATGCACAGCAAAGCCCCCTCAAACAAAGACTTGTTGGTTTAAAATGTCAGAAGAGCCACTGCTTAGAAACCTTGGTGTAGGATCACACACCCATAAATGCTAAAAATTCACTCATAACTTAAAAGGTACAAAAGGACAAGATTTATATTTATACCTGGTGACACTTTAGAGGTGGTACACTTTAGAGGTGTACCATAGGCACACAGCCTGTTAGTGGTAAAACCAGAACGAGGACCCAGATCCTCTACATCCTAGGGTTTGGCTCTATGATCACTTCATACCACATTCTAGTCCTGGAAGAAAAGCAGTTCGGAATCTCTATCCAAAGTCTGTACTCACACAGTAGGACTCTGGCTGCCATTGTGTCCACCCTTATCCAGTCCTCTGACTTATACGAAGGCCTTTTAACTGAGCTCCCTAATTCCCTTCTGGAAGCAGCTGTATATAGACCTCATCTTCCTTCTCGAGTTTAAATACTTCATGTGTAACTAATTCACTTCCATTCAAGGTATTCAGAAACATGTACATTAAGTCTACTTTTCCTTAGATAACTGCTTTGCCTAGACTGCATAGCTTCTGATATGCAGTATTTCCCCACAGTATTTGCTAAAACTTCAGTTCAGATTTGCTTCTCAACCCATGATTATTTTTAATTTTGTTTTGATACTGGGGATAGAACTCAGGACCTTGCGCTTGCAAGGCAGGCGCTGGAACCACTGAGCTAAATCTCTGGCACCCCATAATTATTTTTAAAAGATAAAGAGTTTCGCGTAAGGTGCCATCATTTAAAAAAATGTTATATCAATATACTTTGGTTCTGCCATATGAACTGCTACAAAAGTGGATTCAACTTTACTAGTGTATCTATGAGAATATCTACATCACTCCTCCTAACATACAATTAAAAGCAGAAAGCAACAGTCTCTACTTTACAAATCTACTAAACTGTTAACAGTAATTAAAGTGAACATAACAGGAATGACTCACCATTGGTTTACCATAAAATGGGAATCCTTGTAACTGTCTTAAGGCATTTGTGGATGAGCCCAGTTCTTTAAATATAACAAAGGCCTGGCCTCGCATCTTCATAGTCTTTAAAGCCACAATATCTACCACATGACCAAACTGAGAAAACAGTGCATATAGGGATCGCTTCAATTCTGTACAAAGAGGGAAAACAAGTTTTTTGAAAATGTAACAGTGACAAAATTCTTCATGATAATGTACTGAATGCTTTCCATTATAAGTTATTTGAAATCATTATCAGTAAAAAGATTAAACAATCTCTACCTATTTTTATTTTTAAAAAGCTTTAAAATCCTTACATCAAATGAAACGAAAAGGATAACCATGGGACAATTTGAAGTTGTAAAAGTTGTGAAGCAGTAAAAAACATTTTAGCTGTTAACAAATATTTTTTAAAGTATGTACCTTCTTTTTTAATTTTGTCATTCATATTGTTGATATAAATTGTATGATTTGGTCTAATATCCATGTCTGGGTAACAGAAACTGTATGCAGCCCACAAAGCCTAAGATTATTTCTTCAAATAACCTAAACAGACAATAAATAAATGATCCGTTATTAACAGCAAGGGTTAAATCACACATTACATACATAATATGGCATAAAGACATAACAAAAAGGTTATTAATTTTTCAAAATTCTTTCAATCCTCAAAGTCAGGAAACATCAGCTGTTAGTAACTTTAATTCCTCCCTAGCACTTGCTAGCCCTCCCTTTTAGATCATAGGCTCAAAACTTGGTAGAACACCAACCAGTACATAGACAGATTTTAGTAACATCAACACATCTGAAGTAATAAATATCTTTATACTGGCCTTCCAGTTATAACAAATGATACTGTCTTCCCATTTGCCCAATGAAAGAACTTCTTTTTCAGTGAAGTAATTTAAGAAAACCAACACATGATGAAAAATGAAAAAGAAACCAGCAAACATACATCAAGTAAATTCTGACATACTATTAATGAAGTCTGCAGAGTACTTCATGGGCACACTTACCAAACACTTTCACATTTCTTTCTTTTCTTCCCCCACCCCCCGGGTCCTTGCGCTTGCAAGGCAGGCCACCGAACCACTGAGCTAAATCCCCAGCCCATTACATCTATTTCTTAATTCTTATGCATCATCACCAAGGCTGTATGATGATTAAGAGATCGGATTGTAGTACCAAGCAGATCTGAATTTAAATCCTGCTTATACTTATGAGTCGTCTCACTAAAGTCCAGTTCTTCATTCACTCAGGTCCTCAAGGGAATAGTAACAGCACCCACGCAGTACTACTCAGAAGATTCACGAGAGAAAGACCTGACAGTTCTTGCATGATCAATCAGCACCTGAGATAGCTATGATGAATGGCTATTACAAGGTAAGTGACTTGTCTAAGGTGACACTGCCAATAAGCAGCAGGCCTGGGAAGTCAGCCCTCTAATTTTCTCCTGAACATTTCTCTCACATTCACCGCACTACTTCGTTTTCATATTTTACCATTGTTTGGAATTCATATTTACATTGAACCTTTCATATTTTATTCTTTTTTTGCCGCACATTTTTTAGTTTATTTCCTTGCAGCTTCACAAATTCTTTTAGTTCACAAATTTAATGCACCCACTGTACATGAACAGCACAGAATGACTAGTAAGCGAGAGCCTATTAACAGGGTCTGTGCTTGTGTGAGTATCATGAAAAGTAGGGATTCCAGAAGGATTGTAAATTCCTAAATTCAAACCTGGAGGAGGGCGGGCATCACAAAACAGAAAATAGAATGAAGCGACAGATCTGAAGTTGGGAAGCTCAGGACGGCCTAGGAACGGCGGACTGGATGAGGACAGAGTAACCTGCAGGCGCCCCTTCTCCAAACCCTAACGGGAGCAGCCGGAAGGGACCCGAAAGCGAAGCCAGCCGTCAACGTGCACACAAGCAGAGGGATCTTAATCATCCTTTGACTTCGAAAGCGCAAGCTCCCAGGCCAGAAGCCCAAGGGAGCTGACCTGCTACCTCCAAACAGCCCCATTAAAAGCTCGGGCGCTTCTCTAGGCCAGCGCACCACTCCATCCTTTCCCCGCCCCCATGCGGACTCCGGGACGAACGCCTTCGACCCTACCCCACCTTTGCGCCTGGTCTGTTCCAAACTCCAGCAGCTGAGGGTACGACCGAGCAGCACCCGGAATCTCAACAACCAGGTACAGGTCGATCCAACCCACCAGAGGCCTACGCCACCTTCCGTAAGAACCGCGAGCCGGAAATGGAGCAGGCACCGGAAGTAAAGCTACCACGCTGCTCAATGGAGCGCCAGCAAGTCGAGAAGTCGATCGCCGAGTAGATCGATGACTCCTCGCTGGGCGGCTGCAGTTTGGACTCTCTCTGCGCGTGCGCACTGTGCAGGGCTGGAAGTGGCTGGAAAGGGCACTAGGGAAGGTAAGGGAGAATTGTGTGCTAAAAGTAGGAACCCAGGGCCGTAGTGTGAGGAAAAAGAGAAGGGCAGTGATTAATTTCCACTACCACGACTTTAACAGTTTTACTCGAGAAAAAAATGATGCCTTTCATCTCTCTAAATCTTATGTAATCATCTTTTGTTTTTATTTATTTTTGCTGTACTGAGGATTGAACTCAGGGCCTTCACACGGTGCTGTTTCCCCAGCCTATTTTTTGTTTTGAAACGGCCTCACTAAGTTGCCCTGGCTGGGCTCAAACTTGCAATCCTATTGCCTCAGCCTTCCTAGTTAGTGAAATCATAGGTTTGTGCCACCAGGCCCGGCTGCAAATCCTATAATTTTTTTTCCCCTGCAACTTATGATTTCTATACAATTTTTAATTTCAGGGTTTTCTGCCTGACATATTTTTTTTAATTCATTAAGTTTATTGGTACATTTTAGGTATACAATATGTTGCCATTCATCATTGATATATCTTGGTTATTTTTTCTCCATTCCCCTGCCCTCCCTTCAACCCCTTCTCGCCTCCCTATTTATAAAGACTTTGTTTCCATTTTTTTTCTTTTCTTGAATCCTATATAATTTTACAGCAATTCCTCATGCTGACGTTGTGGGGCTTTTATTATGAAAGCCTAAAGTTTGCAACTTGAAAATTATGTCTTGAGGATGGGGATTTTTGTCTGCTTTGTTCATTTGAGTACTCTGCGTAATTAGAAAAATGACTTATAAATATTATTAAATGAGTGACTGGGAAATTAGGCAGTACTAAAGTAAATATACCATTTTAGGAAGATGCATGTAAGTGTTGAAAGTAAAGTTAAATGGTTACAAAAAGTCTTTCTTGTATAAGTATAAAAACTAGAAGGAATGCCAGGTGTGGTGGCGCATACCTGTAATCCCAGCATTCAGGAGGCTGAGGCAGGAGGATCACTGTGAGTTCGAGACCAGCCTGGGCTACACAGTGAGTTCCAGGTCAGTCTCAACTACATGGTGAGACCCTGTCTCAAAAACAAGAAAAAAAAAACTAAAAGGAATGTAAATGGTCCTATCTCAGTTAAAGAATTGAGTGTATCCTTAACAATTCAAAAGAGAATGCAAAATAAATATGAAATAACTTCTAAATAACAAAGTACACACTGTCCTTCAGTATAGACACCTGAGCAATGAGTTCTTTTTGATAATAATGAGAATGACTAAAATATTTCTGGAAATAAGTTATCATCTGACAGTATTACATAAATGGATCTGGCCAAGGATTCATAACTGTTAGGATTAGATACTGTACATCCATGCAGCAATACTCCAGCTGGGAAGAGAACACCACAGGAACGGCAGAAGCTGAAGAGAGACCACATCCTGTTCCCATGAACAACTAAATTATGATTCCTGTACATTACACTGTCAGGAGGAAATCACCCAATGCCAACTCAGTGGCAATGGTCTGCATGCTGCATGCTGCTTTCTGGGTTCTGAAAAGAACCAGTGCATTTTCCTGTCCTTGGGTAGTCATTCTGGGCTGTGTGATAATCTGTTAATTGTCCTCTTGTAGTAGGACGCCAGGGCACAGCAACATGGCTGGAGGAGTGGGAGTGTACTGCCTTTTGAGGATACTTAATAACCACAGGCACAGAGCAGCAGCACGCAAGCTCCACGCAGGATCAAGCTGAGCCCTGCACCTGGTGCCAATCTTCTGACATGAGAATACACCGAACCTGGAATCTGATATCAGTCTTGTAGCACGAGATCAAATGCGACCACAGATCACCTGGATCAATTATCAAAGATGACATAAAACAACAGTAGCAATCAACTTTGGGGCCATTGCCCTCTTGTTCTTACAGTGCTCCATTCTGCTTGCAGGACTCATCCTTTTTTCAAAGCACCCTTTTCTCCCTGATCACTTCTTTTGTGCTTATTCTCCTTTTTCTTCTCATTTTCTTATTTCAACCCTAAGATAAGCGTAATCTTTCACATCCAGCAGTTGTCTGGAACAATTCACTGATCAGGACAAATAACCTAGAAGACACTGCTAGTCCCTACCCAATCTGGTAACACTCTGAGAATTTCTGAATGATTTCGAGAAACCAGTAATTGAAACTGGGTCTGACAGGGAATGAAGGGAGAGAAGAGCTTATCAGATATTGTGAGAAGCTGTGTGTGCCTGATTACATAACTCTCTATTCTTAAAGCCTAGAAATTGTAGTCACAGGTACTGTAAAACAACTAGCATTCCTCTGTAACCAAATTCTCTATAATCTCTGACCTCTTCCTGATCAAACCAGGTCAAAAACTCATATTTCAAAAATGATAGAAGAGCAAATGTGTTTCCCTGAAGTTCTATTCAGTTTGACTCATACTTCAGTTAGTTAATGTGATTTACATTCCTATGAGATGAATACTTTTTATCAAACTAAACTGACAGCAGTGCTGTAACTATTGTATCCAAGCCTCATGTATCTCCTGATGATAAAGTTTGCTTATTTTTAGGGGCAATAGAAAAATTACTACAGCCACTTGGGAATAAAACAGTGTCAAGATGTCTACATTATACGGATGATAACTGAGGTTTCTCTTAGTGCCTCTGAGTACACATATATTTTCCTACCTCCATCTACATGTGTTTTATGTTTCTCATTAATGCTTTCAGTATCTTGCTGCAATAGTTTTGAGAAGGGGCCATGTGTAAATGAAAACATATTATAAAACTGTGGTGAATATATTTTGTCTCATTTATGTTAGAGCCACAAAATTTATGGCAATTTTTTTTTTGTATTTCTCTCTCCAGGTGGTGATTACATTAAGAAATTTATGTAGAGTGAAATTATTTTCACTATAAGCATTAAACAATTCTAAGCATTGTTGTTGAGCTCCAAATTGGGTTTACATTTTCTCAGGTGAGTGGAATTATGTTGCCTTGCCTTTCTAAAAAGCAACCCTCTCACCCCCAATCAGGAAGGAAATAATTTTGTGCAGTAATTTCCTTTTATTCAGTTTAGTCTATTTTATTCTTTGTAAGCATATTGGTTTTAGAGACAAAAAAAATCCAGAGATCACTTCTGATGCATACTACTGTGTAAATGTTAATAGTAAAGTGTCATTCATGTACACCAAAATACTACCCTCAGGTTGGGTAGAATCTGAGATGGACTATAATTATGTAGGCATTCCGTGAAGTTTGGAAGAAGTTTGCCTTTGAGAGCCTGATCACCAATCCAAAGAAGTGTGAAGGAAAGCCAGAATTTCATATAGTTCAGTATTGTGAGACATGTAGATTCTGCTCAGTATAACATTGTCCTCTCTAGAAATCAGCTAAAATAACACCGTGCACTTGCCATTCCCCTAGGAGACTAGAAAAATAAGATCCGAGTCCCAGGAGACCCACCTAACGAGCAAAATGTTATACAGATGAAATGCTTAAGTACAGCAGGTTTTGCTTCACCGATGATTCACCACTGTAAAATTTTTTTGAGCTTTAAACCCTAGGGCATTTGAAAATCTATTAAAAAAGAAAACCTTCTAAGAATGTTGGGTCCCCATTGTGTAATTTCAATGTCGTTGACATTATGGGTATATCCCAGAAGTCCTAATCCAGCGTTTCTCAGATGTTAATGTGCAATCAGTTCATCTGGAAATTTTGTTAAAAATTTGACTTCTCAGGCCTAGGATGAGATCTGAGAAGCTGCATTTATAAGAAGTTGTTGAATAATGCTGATGCTACAGGCCATTCACATTGTAGGTACCAAGACGCCCAGCTTTTCCAGGCAGAAGAATCATAAATTTGAGGCCAACTTGGCCAAATTAGCAAGACCCTAGAGGAGAAGATGTAGCTCAGTGGTAGAGTAATTGTGTAGCATGTGTGAGATCCTAAGTTCAGGTCCAAGTACCTTCAAAAAATATTTGAACATAAGGTAGATTATCCTAGTATTAACCTAATTGGCCCTAGAGCCAAAGAGATGTCATAAGATTCTGAATAGTTAGCCCATTTTGTGTTACTAAAGCAAAATACCTTAGATAGAGTCTTTTATAAAGAAAAGAAGCATATTTACCTCACTGTTCTGGAGTCTGGGCACTCCAGGAACACAGCACAGGCATCTATCCACATCTGGTGAGTGTCTTCTTGCAACATCACGAAATGACAGAAGGCAACAGCTGGTGAGGCAGAGCTTATGAGCCAGAGAAAGGTCACCTTTACAACAGAGCCACTGCAATGATAACCCATTAATCCACTAATCCATGGATGGATTGATTCATAATCTCTAAATCAATGATCTTTTCACACAACACTGGATCAAGGCTCCTCATGAGTTTTGGTAGGGACAAGCCACATCCAAAGCTAACCAGCCATATTCTTAAGCAAAGAGAAATCAACTGTTTATTTCAAAGAAGATGATGCTTTTTATCTGATAGCTTCCTTTAACTGTCCTCACTGGGCATTTAGAAATATTAGATAAAAGTAAGTCTAGAATTTTTTTCCTCTTTCATAAGCGATTGCTTGTTTGTGAGGTCCTGGGTCACTTTCTAATTCATGACAGTCATCAGAGCTGTGTGAAAATCTTCCCATTATTATCTTTTTCCAAGCCCATGGAGCATATGCTCTACTTGTACCATCTGAAAATTGGCCTTGATGTGTGCTTTTTGTTGCTAATGAAGTGTGAGAACAAGAGGTCTATAGCACTTCCAGACAGAAGTAACAAGAGACAGTGTATGACTTACCAGCTGCCCCCTTCCTGTATTTGTGATCTTGGAAACATCCCCAAATGGAACCCATGTCAAGCTCAGGACTCTGAGTGAC